GTAAAGCTTTGTTTTTGTTTTACAAATGCGAAGTGAAAAAGCTGGCCGGCGAACGTGAGTATAAATGAAAAAATACGCACAGAACAAACTACTCATTCGCATACTGCTTCGTGACCGCAAGCATCCCAAAAAAGTACCATTCTCCGGTACTTGAAAGTATCAGTTAGGTTCATCGTTCCTGTGCAACACATGCTAAGCGTTTTGTAAAATAATGCGGGACGAAATGTTTCGCAATGGAATTTTACATAACGTTCAAACAATGAAGCCACTAGTTTTTTGGATATATCCCGCTGTCAGTGGTAAATTTGGCAAACCGCATTAAACCGTTTTCATTTTTATATTAAAGTAAAACTAACCTGAGGTAAAATTAAAACAACTTTAACTCAACTGACTAAAATAAAAGTACAAAAATATACCCGAAATCGCTTTCAAGGGAAAACAATGCAGTGTTCGAAGGAACATTTAAATGCATAATTTTGCAATGAAATGTATTTAGATTTTTTAATTTTGTCCATATATTTGATGTTATTGAAAATACACAAGTTTTAGGCTATAGCGCTGAATCTGGCAAAACTGTGGCACTAAACGCTTTTCACCATGCAATTTATATTGAGGGCTATTAAAATACCGTTTTGTAGCTTGTTTCTATTTGCTGGTAGATATAGCTTTTTAATCATTTTTTCTTCCTGCGTCGCAACCCCATTATTTCTTCCGATGATTTATATGCAAAAAATGCACAAGTAAAAACGTGTCTAAATACGGGTGAGATCTCCATTTTTACCTGCTTTGATGGGAGAATTTTGAGCGGGATGAAAGAATTCGGGTTATGATTGAAGGCAAATTTTGAATTACTCTTACACGGTGTAATCATGTGCTCTCACAACAGACACATCAATATTCATTTCAGCAACCGTAGCACATTGTTTGAACACGGATTTGTGACGAAGGGCACCTTAAATGAGCTAGAATCAGCCTAACGTGGGAAGCTCGTGTTTTACAGTGGACTGTGGTTCAAGCAGTATGAGTAAATAAAGTCCCGTAAAAACCATTGGCGTATTGCTAAAAGCATACTGGCTCCATTCCTTGACGTTTCGGGAGGATTTGCAGGATTATCTTGCTTTTATTATATAAAGTTGTCGCACGTATACTAATGCCGTACTCACGTCATTCGAGAAACTAAGTCGCACAATTCACAGTATCTTGTTATTCCAAATAGCAGGCGCCATTAATCTTAGAACAGCGCCAAAGTAACTGCTGTCCTGCAAATTCGTCCAACGTGCGTCAGTGGAGTGGTGTTAGCACGCTTGACTCACATGTTGCTGTCCTGCAAATTCGTCCAACGTGCGTCAATGGAATGGTGTTAGCACGCCTGACTCACATGTTAGATGTCCGGGGTTCAAATCCCGGCCCGGCCATTGGATGTGCACCGCTGATGATCTCCAATAAGAGATAAACTCGAGTCCAGTGCTTCCATTTAATGTGGACTCACCGGAATAAATGCTCCAGGACAGGAACGCGACAGTTCAAGAGAGAGTAGCATGAGTATTAAACCTATCGCGCAAATATTACAACTCCTATCTGTTAGTTTGCTGCAAACGAGTGCAACAGGCTAAATTTTTTTCAAATATTCCAACTTAAAAGATTTTTCTGACGAAACTTTGCTGATCTCCACGTTTTTTGTTCAAGCGGCTCAACCACAAGAAGTGAAAAAGCAAAGTGAGTTGAATAAGAACCCAGTGTTGTACAGGTGTGCGCTTACTGCTGAGTTTATCGGTAACAAACCGAATAGGGCGCACATGTTGATTTACTATCAAGAACTCAAGGTTGACTCAAAATGTGACTTTAATTTTTCAGGCACGATTTTGAAAGCACCCCAAGGAGAGAGTGTTCTCCGTATGTCCTGTGCTCATCTCAGGAAATCCAAGTCTTGTGGTTGAAAAACTACATTTTGTGCTCTGTTTGTAGTAAAGGTAAAAATATACTATATGTATAAATAGTACAGCACTCTAAACCCAAAGCTTTCAGGAAAGTTTAACTTACCGTCACGAAGTGATATCAACGCCTGATCAAATTGTAACGCAATAAAACATGATTTCAGGATTTATAGAAATAATCGGTAATGTGGGAAAAATAACCCACAACCCAACCTACATTTTAGGTAGTTTGTTAATAATGACACAAGTTGCGACTCTTTACATTCATGTTTCACCAACTTCTGAAAATATCTTTTAGCCGAACTGTGTATAGGTACTTAATGATCTGAAGTTTATCTGGTCACGACTTGAAACTTAGCAAACAAGTATTTTCCCGTGATATGCGAAATCTGCCCGCAAAAGCCTAATATTGCACTGATATTCGTGATCCATTCACAAGGCTTTATTGCACAGAAAAAATCTCTTATCAATAATATTTGGACTTCTTCAAAACATGCTAAACATTTTGTGTATGACTATATAAATCTCAGTTTAAAAACAATTGATTTTCCGCCAACTTATTGCGTATGCTTGGGCACTATTTTATACAGTGCATATCAGCCTCGCTTTTACATAAAACGATCTTGCAAGCTCGAGTTGATACGTAGCATTGTTATCTGCCAAACACGTTGGTCAATTTACGATGCTCCATTTAATAAAAAAATTGTTTGACGTACCGGCAGGTTTGCTTACGCTGATACTAAACCAACGCTTCTGCAAGAATTATGATTAAAAGAAACAAGAACAGGTTTATAGTTTCAAATGTTTCATCTTCACCATGCTCTGGTGACAAATTCCAAAATAAGTGAATATTATCTATGTCAAGCTGTACACAATATATTTCACCAGCGTGAAGACGCTGTTCCTGCAAACACAACATAGTCCCATCTAATTAATTCTACATGGACATTTGTTGATTACTAACGGAAATTTTTCCTTCAGAATGACACTTCTAAACAGGTGTTGATTATTTGTGATTGTCATGAACTCAAGAGCACGAGGGTGCTCATTATCGAACTAAAATGACCCATTTGCCAAATATTTCGTTAAAATAAATTCTGCTTTTTTGTTGGCTTGTACGTAGAGTGTACAGTATTAATTATTCCATAGTTAGTTTCTTTCAGACGTTGAGAGAATCTATCTTTGATAAAAAAAAGCGCTAAACATTTATCAGATGCCTATGGTCTGTTTCCGCGGATATTACTGCGGAAATCGGCACCAAAACGTGTAATATTTAAGTATTCCGCAATAAAAATCCGCCAAATGCTCACAAGTTCCTAAAAGATGCATGCCTAACTTTGTTGTAGAACATTCATGCTAACCAGAAGTCTGACCTCCAGCTTAGTTTGCGTAATTCCACAATAATTTGTTAAACTGAACGCTTTATTCAAATGTCGCTTCAACATTTTTGTATATGATGCCAGAACCAGTTGAACAAAAGATTCATCATCATCATTATTGTCAGCTGTAAGAACCGCGTACTCGTCGTACAGTGGTTGCAGCTGCCGCAGTTTCGTTCACCAGTGATTTGTGGAGGGGGTTGGTAGTTGCGCATTGCAGGCGCGAGC